ACCAGGGTGGACTGTCACCACCACCAGGGTGGACTGTGTCCCCACCACCAGGGTGGACTGTGTCCCCACCACCAGGGTGGACTGTGTCCCCACCAGGGTGGACTGTGTCCCCACCACCAGGGTGGACTGTGTCCCCACCACCACCAGGGTGGACTGTGTCCCCACCACCAGGGTGGACTGTGTCCCACCACCAGGGTGGACTGTGTCCCCACCACCAGGGTGGACTGTGTCCCCACCACCACCAGGGTGGACTGTGTCCCCACCACCAGGGTGGACTGTGTCCCCACCAGGGTGGACTGTGTCCCCACCACCAGGGTGGACTGTGTCCCCACCACCACCAGGGTGGACTGTGTCCCCACCAGGGTGGACTGTGTCCCCACCACCAGGGTGGACTGTCCCCACCACCAGGGTGGACTGTGTCCCCACCACCAGGGTGGACTGTCACCACCACCAGGGTGGACTGTGTCACCACCACCAGGGTGGACTGTGTCCCCACCAGGGTGGACTGTGTCCCCACCACCACCACCAGGGTGGACTGTGTCCCCACCAGGGTGGACTGTGTCCCCACCACCACCACCAGGGTGGACTGTGTCACCACCACCACCAGGGTGGACTGTGTCCCCACCACCAGGGTGGACTGTGTCCCCACCACCACCACCAGGGTGGACTGTGTCCCCACCAGGGTGGACTGTGTCCCCACCACCAGGGAGGACTGTGTCACCACCACCAGGGTGGACTGTGTCCCCACCAGGGTGGACTGTGTCCCCACCACCACCACCAGGGTGGACTGTGTCACCACCACCAGGGTGGACTGTGTCTCCACCAGGGTGGACTGTCTCCCCACCACCAGGGTGGACTGTCACCACCACCAGGGTGGACTGTGTCCCCACCACCAGGGTGGACTGTGTCTCCACCAGGGTGGACTGTGTCTCCACCAGGGTGGACTGTCACCACCACCACCAGGGTGGACTGTGTCCCCACGACCAGGGTGGACTGTGTCCCCACCAGGGTGGACTGTGTCTCCACCAGGGTGGACTGTCCCCACCACCACCAGGGTGGACTGTGTCTCCACCAGGGTGGACTGTCAACACCACCAGGGTGGACTGTGTCTCCACCAGGGTGGACTGTGTCCCCACCACCACCACCAGGGTGGAATGTGTCTCCACCAGGGTGGACTGTGTCCCCACCACCACCACCAGGGTGGACTGTGTCCCCCCACCACCACCACCAGGGTGGACTGTGTCTCCACCAGGGTGGACTGTCACCACCACCAGGGTGGACTGTCACCACCACCAGGGTGGACTGTCTCCCCACCACCAGGGTGGACTGTCACCACCACCAGGGTGGACTGTGTCCCCACCACCAGGGTGGACTGTGTCTCCACCAGGGTGGACTGTGTCTCCACCAGGGTGGACTGTCACCACCACCACCAGGGTGGACTGTGTCCCCCACGACCAGGGTGGACTGTGTCCCCACCAGGGTGGACTGTGTCTCCACCAGGTGGACTGTCCCCACCACCACCAGGGTGGACTGTGTCTCCACCAGGGTGGACTGTCAACACCACCAGGGTGGACTGTGTCTCCACCAGGGTGGACTGTGTCCCCACCACCACCACCAGGGTGGAATGTGTCTCCACCAGGGTGGACTGTGTCCCCACCACCACCACCAGGGTGGACTGTGTCCCCACCACCACCACCACCACCAGGGTGGACTGTGTCTCCACCAGGGTGGACTGTCACCACCACCAGGGTGGACTGTCACCACCACCAGGGTGGACTGTGTCCCCACCAGGGTGGACTGTCCCCACCACCACCAGGGTGGACTGTGTCCCCCACCACCAGGGTGGACTGTGTCTCCACCACCAGGGTGGACTGTGTCCCCACCACCAGGGTGGACTGTGTCCCCACCACCAGGGTGGACTGTCACCACCACCAGGGTGGACTGTCACCACCACCAGGGTGGACTGTGTCCCCACCACCAGGGTGGACTGTCACCACCACCAGGGTGGACTGTGTCCCCACCACCAGGGTGGACTGTGTCCCCACCACCAGGGTGGACTGTCACCACCACCAGGGTGGACTGTCACCACCACCAGGGTGGACTGTGTCCCCACCACCAGGGTGGACTGTCACCACCACCAGGGTGGACTGTCACCACCACCAGGGTGGACTGTGTCCCCACCACCAGGGTGGACTGTGTCCCCACCACCAGGGTGGACTGTGTCCCCACCAGGGTGGACTGTGTCCCCACCACCAGGGTGGACTGTGTCCCCACCACCACCAGGGTGGACTGTGTCCCACCACCAGGGTGGACTGTGTCCCCACCAGGGTGGACTGTGTCCCCACCACCAGGGTGGACTGTGTCCCCACCACCACCAGGGTGGACTGTGTCCCCACCACCAGGGTGGACTGTGTCCCCACCAGGGTGGACTGTGTCCCCACCACCAGGGTGGACTGTGTCCCCACCACCACCAGGGTGGACTGTGTCCCCACCAGGGTGGACTGTGTCCCCACCACCACCAGGGTGGACTGTGTCCCCACCACCAGGGTGGACTGTGTCCCCACCAGGGTGGACTGTGTCCCCACCACCAGGGTGGACTGTGTCCCCACCACCACCAGGGTGGACTGTGTCCCCACCACCAGGGTGGACTGTGTCCCCACCAGGGTGGACTGTGTCCCCACCACCAGGGTGGACTGTGTCCCCACCACCACCAGGGTGGACTGTGTCCCCACCAGGGTGGACTGTGTCCCCACCACCAGGGTGGACTGTCCCCACCACCAGGGGGGACTGTGTCCCCACCACCAGGGTGGACTGTCACCACCACCAGGGTGGACTGTGTCACCACCACCAGGGTGGACTGTGTCCCCACCAGGGTGGACTGTGTCACCACCACCAGGGTGGACTGTGTCCCCACCAGGGTGGACTGTGTCCCCACCACCACCACCAGGGTGGACTGTGTCCCCACCAGGGTGGACTGTGTCCCCACCACCACCACCAGGGTGGACTGTGTCACCACCACCACCAGGTTGGACTGTCACCACCACCAGGGTGGACTGTCACCACCACCAGGGTGGACTGTGTCCCCACCACCAGGGTGGACTGTGTCCCCACCACCAGGGTGGACTGTGTCCCCACCAGGGTGGACTGTGTCCCCACCACCAGGGTGGACTGTGTCCCCACCACCACCAGGGTGGACTGTGTCCCCACCACCAGGGTGGACTGTGTCCCCACCAGGGTGGACTGTGTCCCCACCACCAGGGTGGACTGTGTCCCCACCACCACCAGGGTGGACTGTGTCCCCACCACCAGGGTGGACTGTGTCCCCACCAGGGTGGACTGTGTCCCCACCACCAGGGTGGACTGTGTCCCCACCACCACCAGGGTGGACTGTGTCCCCACCAGGGTGGACTGTGTCCCCACCACCAGGGTGGACTGTCCCCACCACCAGGGTGGACTGTGTCCCCACCACCAGGGTGGACTGTCACCACCACCAGGGTGGACTGTGTCACCACCACCAGGGTGGACTGTGTCCCCACCAGGGTGGACTGTGTCCCCACCACCACCACCAGGGTGGACTGTGTCCCCACCAGGGTGGACTGTGTCCCCACCACCACCACCAGGGTGGACTGTGTCACCACCACCACCAGGGTGGACTGTGTCCCCACCACCAGGGTGGACTGTGTCCCCACCACCACCACCAGGGTGGACTGTGTCCCCACCAGGGTGGACTGTGTCCCCACCACCAGGGTGGACTGTGTCACCACCACCAGGGTGGACTGTGTCCCCACCAGGGTGGACTGTGTCCCCACCACCACCACCAGGGTGGACTGTGTCACCACCACCAGGGTGGACTGTGTCTCCACCAGGGTGGACTGTCTCCCCACCACCAGGGTGGACTGTCACCACCACCAGGGTGGACTGTGTCCCCACCACCAGGGTGGACTGTGTCTCCACCAGGGTGGACTGTATCTCCACCAGGGTGGACTGTCACCACCACCACCAGGGTGGACTGTGTCCCCACGACCAGGGTGGACTGTGTCCCCACCAGGGTGGACTGTGTCTCCACCAGGGTGGACTGTCCCCACCACCACCAGGGTGGACTGTGTCTCCACCAGGGTGGACTGTCAACACCACCAGGGTGGACTGTGTCTCCACCAGGGTGGACTGTGTCCCCACCACCACCAGGGTGGAATGTGTCTCCACCAGGGTGGACTGTGTCCCCACCACCACCACCAGGGTGGACTGTGTCCCCACCACCACCACCACCAGGGTGGACTGTGTCTCCACCAGGGTGGACTGTCACCACCACCAGGGTGGACTGTCACCACCACCAGGGTGGACTGTGTCCCCACCAGGGTGGACTGTCCCCACCACCACCAGGGTGGACTGTGTCCCCACCACCAGGGTGGACTGTGTCTCCACCACCAGGGTGGACTGTGTCCCCACCACCAGGGTGGACTGTGTCCCCACCACCAGGGTGGACTGTCACCACCACCAGGGTGGACTGTCACCACCACCAGGGTGGACTGTGTCCCCACCACCAGGGTGGACTGTCACCACCACCAGGGTGGACTGTGTCCCCACCACCAGGGTGGACTGTGTCCCCACCACCAGGGTGGACTGTCACCACCACCAGGGTGGACTGTCACCACCACCAGGGTGGACTGTGTCCCCACCACCAGGGTGGACTGTGTCCCCACCAGGGTGGACTGTGTCTCCACCAGGGTGGACTGTGTCTCCACCACCAGGGTGGACTGTGTCCCCACCACCACCACCAGGGTGGACTGTGTCCCCACCAGGGTGGACTGTGTCCCCACCACCACCACCAGGGTGGACTGTGTCCCCACCAGGGTGGACTGTGTCCCCACCACCACCACCAGGGTGGACTGTGTCCCCACCACCAGGGTGGACTGTGTCCCCACCACCACCACCAGGGTGGACTGTGTCCCCACCACCAGGGTGGACTGTGTCTCCACCACCAGGGTGGACTGTGTCCCCACCTGAGCCCCAGGATCTGAGCGCTGAGCAGGCCCAGGGTGAGTGCCACTACCGTGCTCATGGCCAGGGTTCCCCGCTGGCGCTGCAGGGCGCACTCGCCCACGTACATTGGCTGCAGACTCAGTCCCACGCCTGCACAGAGGCACCACGCGCACATCACACACAGACATCACATTACACATCACACACACACATTACACATCACACACACGTTAGACATTACACACATTACATACACCATACATTACACACACACACACAGACACATTACACACAGACACATTACACACAGACACACAGACACATTACACACAGACACACATCACACACATTACATACACACACATTACACACAGACACACACAGACACATTACATACACACACATTACACACAGACACACACAGACACATTACATACACACACAGACACATCACACACACACAGACACATTACACACACACATACACACATTACACACATACACACACATCACACACACACACAGACACATCACACACACACATTACACACACATTACATACACATTACACACACACACATTACACACACACACATTACACACACACACATCACACACACACATTACACATCACATATACACATTACATACATACACACACATCACACAGACACATTACACATTACACACATTACACACAGACACACACATTACACACACAGACACATTACACACATACACACACATTACACACACAGACACATTACACACATACACACACATCACACACACATTACACATCACACACATTACACATCACACACACATTACACACATACACACACATCACACACACAGACACACACACACGCATCACACACAGATACACACAGACACACAGACACATTACACACATTACACACACACATTACATTACACATTACACACATTACACACAGACATTACATTACACACATCACACACAGACATTACACATCACACACACATTACACACATACACACACATCACACACACACACCACACACACACGCATCACACACAGACACATTACACACATTACATACATCACACACATCACACACACAGACACACTACACATCACACATTACACACATCACACACACACACCACACACACACGCATCACACACATTACATACACCACACATTACACATTACATACACACATCACACACATCACACACAGACACATCACACACATCACACACACAGACACATTATACACATTACAGACACATTACACATTACATACACACACACATTACACACATTACACACATCACACACACACATCACACACATTACATACACCACACATTACACATTACATACACACATCACACACACACATCACACACATCACACACACAGACACATCACACACACACACATACACACATTACACACAGACACACACAGACACATTACACACACACAGACACACATTACACACACACATTGCATACACCACACATCACACACAGACACATTACACACATCACACATTACATACACCACACATTACACACAGACACATTACACACATTACACACATACACACACATCACACACACATTACATTACACATTACACACATCACACACACACACATTACACACATCACACACACACACACATTACACACATTACACATTACATACACACATCACACACACACACACATTACACACATTACACATTACATACACACATCACACACACACACATTACACACATTACACATTACATACACACATCACACACACATACATTACACACATTACACATTACATACACACATCACACACACATTACACACATTACACATTACATACACACATCACACACACAGACACATCACACACACATTACACACACACAGACACATTACACACACACATTGCATACACACATCACACACAGACACATTACACACATTACACACACAGACACGTTACATCACACATCACACACAGACACACACATACACACATACCACACACATCACACATACACATCACACACATCACACACACACATTACACACACACACATTACACATCACACACATTACACATTACATACATTTCGATTTAAAGCTTTCGTGACTGCAATGATTCATCTTCTTTGGTTCTTTCGGTAAAGTCACGTAGAATGAGAATAAAATAATAAAAAAATTATCAAATAATAAAAATTTATCAATTTATTATTTTATTATCATTCTACGTGACTTTACCGAAAGAACCAAAGAAGATTACATACATTACACATCACACAGACACATTACACGTTACATACACACATCACACACACATTACACACATTACACACACATCACATACACACATTACACACACACATTACATTACACATCACCATACATCACATACATTACACATCACACACACACTACACACACACGTTACACACATTACACACACACACATTACACACATTACATACATTACACATTACATACACACAGACACACACCACACACATCACACACATCACACACACACACCACACACACCACAGACACCACACAGAGACCACACACACACCACACACTACACACACACCACACACACACCACACCACACACACACACACCACACACACACACACCACACACACACCACACCACACACACACACCACACACACCACACACACCACACCACACACCACACACCACACACACACACACCACACTACACACCACACACACACCACATACCACACACACACCACACACACCACACACACACACACCACACCACACACACACCACACACACCACACACTCCACACACACACCACAGACACCACACACACACACCACACACACACACCACACTACACACACACACACCACACACACCACACACACCACACACACCACACACACACCACACACACCACACACACACACACACCACACCACACACACACCACACACTCCACACACACACCACAGACACCACACACACACACCACACACACCACACACACCACACACACCACACACACACCACACACACACACCACACCACACACACACCACACACACACACCACACACACCACACACACCACACACACAGAGACCCAGACTCTTAGAGACCCGTGCATACCCAGAGACTCCCACAGATGATCCGGAGACTCAGGGCGCACAGCGTCACGTGACAGCGACCTCTACCGAGCGTTGATCGAACCCAATGGTGTCCATGACGACGACGATGATGACGTCAACGGCGATGACGATGACGACGACGATGACGATGACGACGATGACGACGACGCTCGGTTGAGCCACGTCATCAGACGATGATGACGTCGACGATGATGACGTCGATGACGATGATGATGTCGACGATGATGATGATGACGTCGACGATGATGATGACGTCGATGACGATGATGACGACGTCGACGACGACGATGACGACGTCGACGACGCCGATGATGACGTCGACGATGATGACATCGACGACGTTCGGTTGAGCCGCTATCGTTTGACGTCTGCATTGATGATGACGATGATGACGACGTCGATGACGGCGCTGATGACGTCGACGATGATGACGTCGACGACGATGATGATGACGTCGACGACGATGACGTCGACGGCGAGGACGTCGATGACGACGATGATGACGTCGATGACGGCGATGATGACGTCGGCGACGCTCGCTTCACCCACCCACCACCCACCCACCCCCCCACCACCCACCCACCACCCCCCCCACCACCCACCCACCACCTCCCCCCCCCGGCTCACCGGTGTCGATGCCCAGCAGGAAGCGTCCCACCATGAGCAGCTCGAAGAGCCCCGTGGGCTGGCTCAGAGCCACGGCGACGGTGGCCGCGATGACGAACGAGTTGCTGGCCAGGAGGCCGTTCCGCCTGTGCACGTGGGCGGGGCGAGGGGGGGCGGGGCGTGGGGGGCGTGGGCGGGGCGTGGACGGGGCGAGGCGAGGGGCGAGGGGCGGGGCGAGGGGCGGGGCGAGGGGCGGGGCGAGGCGAGGGGGCGTTTGCAGGGCGAGGCGAGGGGGGCGGGGTGGGGCGAGGGCGGGGCGAGGGGGGGCGGGGCGAGGGGGTGGGGCGATGGGGGGGCGGGGCGAGGGGGACGGGGGCGGGGCGATGAGGGGCGTGGGCGGGGCGTGGGGGGGCGTGGGCGGGGCGAGGGGGACGGGGGCGGGGCGATGAGGGGTGTGGGCGGGGCGAGGGGGCGTGGGCGGGGCGAGGGGGCGTGGGCGGGGCGATGGGGGCGGGGGGAGAGGCGAGGGGGAAGGGGCGGGGCGAGGGGGCGGGGCCCTCAGTGCCGGCTTATCCTCGTAGTAATAATAAATCTTCTTTGGTCCTTTCGGTAAAGTCACCGGGTAGAATGAGAATAGAATTATAAAATAATAAAATAACCCAATTCAATTCTCACGACGTTTCGGCCACAACGCAAGCGGCCGTCTTCAGGTGAAAGGAGCAGACCCGTCGGGACGACAGAGCTTCAATGAACGCTGTTAAGATTCGTAGCGACTTTAAAGCTGGTTGGGAGAAGTGAGGCACCTTGACAAAGGGGTTTACATAGTAAATAGCTGAGTGATTAGCTTGTGACTGGTCACAGAAATGGCTATGTTAAAGTCAAAACCTACACATCCACAGAGGCAAATAGTAATTTAGCATTGAAATAGCTAAGGGATTAGCTTGTGACTGGTCACAGGAATGGCTATGTTAAAGTCAAAACCTACACATCCACAGAGGCAACTAGTAATTTAGCATTGAAATAGCTAAGGGATTAGCTTGTGACTGGTCACAGGAATGGCTATGTTAAAGTCAAAACCTACACATCCACAGAGGCAACTAGTAATTTAGCATTGAAATAGCTAAGGGATTAGCTTGTGCAAATAGCTGAGTGATTAGCTTGTGACTGGTCACGGAAGCGGCTATGTTAAAGTCAAAACCTACACATCCATAGAGGCAACTAGTAATTTAGCATTGAAATAGCTAAGCGATTAGCTTGTGACTGGTCAAGGAAATGGCTATGTTAAAGTCAAAACCTACACATCCACAGAGGCAACTAGTAATTTAGCATTGAAATAGCTAAGGGATTAGCTTGTGACTGGTCACAGAAATGGCTATGTTAAAGTCAAAACTTACACATCCACAGAGGCAACTAGTAATTTAGCATTGAAATAGCTGAGGGATTAGCTTGTGACTGGTCACGGAAATGGCTATGTTAAAGTCAAAACCTACACATCCACAGAGCGAAGTAGTAATTTAGCATTGAAATAGCTGAGGGATTAGCTTGTGACTGGTCACCGAAATGGCTATGTTAAAGTCAAAACCTACACATCCACAGAGGCAACTAGTGATTTAGCATTGAAATAGCTAAGGGATTAGCTTGTGACTGGTCACAGAAATGGCTATGTTAAAGTCAAAACCTACACATCCACAGAGGCAACTAGTAATTTAGCATTGAAATAGCTAAGGAATTAGCTTGTGCAAATAGCTGAGTGATTAGCTTGTGACTGGTCACGGAAGCGGCTATGTTAAAGTCAAAACCTACACATCCATAGAGGCAACTAGTAATTTAGCATTGAAATAGCTAAGCGATTAGCTTGTGACTGGTCAAGGAAATGGCTATGTTAAAGTCAAAACCTACACATCCACAGAGGCAACTAGTAATTTAGCATTGAAATAGCTAAGGGATTAGCTTGTGACTGGTCACAGAAATGGCTATGTTAAAGTGAAAACTTACACATCCACAGAGGCAACTAGTAATTTAGCATTGAAATAGCTGAGGGATTAGCTTGTGACTGGTCACGGAAATGGCTATGTTAAAGTCAAAACCTACACATCCACAGAGCGAAGTAGTAATTTAGCATTGAAATAGCTAAGGGATTAGCTTGTGACTGGTCACAGAAATGGCTATGTTAAAGTCAAAACCTACACATCCACAGAGGCAACTAGTGATTTAGCATTGAAATAGCTAAGGGATTAGCTTGTGACTGGTCACAGAAATAGATGTTAAAGTAAAGGCCTACACATCCACAGAGCTTCAGTGAACGATGTTAAGATTCGTAGCGACTTTTAAGCTGGTTGGGAGAAGTGAGGCACCTTGACAAAGGGGTTTGCATATCAAATAGCTGAGGGATTAGCTTGTGACTGGTCACGGAAATGGCTATGTTAAAGTCAAAACCTACACATCCACAGAGGCAACTAGTAATTTAGCATTGAAATAGCTAAGGGATTAGCTTGTGCAAATAGCTGAGGGATTAGCTTGTGACTGGTCACAGATATGGCTATGTTAAAGTCAAGGCCTACACATCCACAGAGCTTCAAGGAACGCTGTTAAGATTCGTAGCGACTTTTAAGCTGGTTGGGAGAAGTGAGGCACCTTGACAAAGGGGGTTTACATATCAAATAGCTGAGGGATTAGCTTGTGACTGGTCACGGAAATGGCTATGTTAAAGTCAAAACCTACACATCCACAGAGGCAACTAGTAATTTAGCATTGAAATAGCTGAGGGATTAGCTTGTGCAAATAGCTAAGGGATTAGCTTGTGACTGGTCACGGAAATGGCTATGTTAAAGTCAAAACCTACACATTCACAGAGGCAACTAGTAATTTAGCATTGAAATAGCTAAGGGATTAGCTTGTGACTGGTCACAGAAATAGATGTTAAAGTAAAGGCCTACACATATGACGTCACAAAGCTCTGCGCCCCCCCCCCCCCAAAAAAAAACACGCCTCACTCATTCATCCACTCACTCACCCACACACCCACTCACTCACTCATCCACTCACTCACCCACTCACTCACTCACCTACTCACCCCTTCACTCACCCACTCACTCACCCCCTCACTCACCCACTCACTCACCCACTCACCCACTCACTCACTCATTCTCTCACTCACACACTCACACACTCACTCACTCACACACTCACTCACTCACAAACTCACCCACTCACTCACTCACACACTCACACATTCTCTCACTCACACACTCACTCACTCACACACTCACCCACTCACTCACTCACACACTCACTCACCCACTCACTCATTCATCCACTCACTCATCCACTCTCTCACTCACTCACTCTCTCACTCACTCACCTACTCACTCAGTCACTCACCCACCCACTCACTCACTCCACTCATTCACTCACCCACTCACCCACTCACACACTCACACACTCACTCACCCACTCACTCATCCACTCTCTCACTCACCCACTCACTCACTCACCCACTCTCTCGCTCACTTATCCACTCTATCACTCACTCACTCACTCGCTCACCCACTCTCTCACTCACTCTCTCACTCACCCACTCACTCACCCACTCACTCATCCACTCTCTCACTCACTCACCCACTCTCTCACTCACCCACTCACTCACCCACTCACTCACTCTCTCACTCACTCTCTCACTCACTCACTCACCCACTCTCTCACTCACTCACTCACCCACTCTCTCACTCACTCTCTCTCTCTCACTCACCCACTCTCTCACTCACTCTCTCTCTCTCTCACTCATCCACTCACTCATCCACTCTCTCACTCACTCACCCACTCTCTCACTCACCCACTCACTCACCCACTCACTCACTCTCTCACTCACTCTCTCACTCACTCTCTCACTCACTCATCCACTCACTCATCCACTCACTCATCCACTCACTCTCTCACTCACCCACTCACCCACTCTCTCACTCACTCATCCACTCACTCACACACTCACTCACTCACCCACTCACTCATTCATCCACTCACTCACTCACTCTCTCACTCACTCTCTCACTCACTCATCCACTCACTCACTCACACACTCACTCACCCACTCACTCATTCATCCACTCACCCACTCTCTCACTCACTCCCCTCATCCACTCTCTCACTCATTCATCCACTCACCCCTCACCCCCTCCCTCACCCCCCTCACCCCCCCCTCACCTGCCCACCCTGACTGCGAGGGGCCCCGCCAGCAAGGCCCCCAGAAGGCCCCCAGCCGTGTAGGCGGCCACGACGAGAGACCAGAGCAGAAGCAGCCCGGCTGGGCTCACCGCCTCGCCGTGGCGAGACAGCCACGTGGCGTTCATGAACTCCTGCACGGCCTGGAGGCAGCGGCAGCAGCAGCAGTAGCATCAGTAGCATCATCATCATCATCAGTAGCAGCATCATCATCATCAGCATCATCATCATCAGTAGCATCATCATCAGCATCATCAGCAGCAGCAGTAGCATCAGTAGCATCATCATCAGTAGCAGCAGTAGCATCAGTAGCATCATCATCATCAGCAGCAGCAGTAGCATCAGTAGCATCATCATCAGTAGCAGCAGTAGCATCAGTAGCATCATCATCAGCATCATCAGCAGCAGCAGTAGCATCAGTAGCATCATCATCAGTAGCATCATCATCAGCGGCAGCAGCAGCATCATCATCAGTAGCAGCAGTAGCATCAGCAGCAGCATCATCATCATCATCAGTAGCAGCAGTAGCATCAGTAGCATCAGCATCATCATCATCAGCAGCAGCAGCATCAGTAGCAGCATCATCAGTAGCATCATCATCAGTAGCATCAGTATCATCATCAGCAGCATCATCATCAGCAGCATCATCAGCAGCATCATCATCATCAGCATCATCAGCAGCAGCATCAGCAGCAGCATCAACAACAGCAGCAGCACCATCAGCATCATCAGCAGCAGCAGCATCATCAGCAGCAGCAGTAGCAGCATCAGCAGCAGCATCAGCAGCATCATCAGCAGCAGCAGCATCAGTAGCATCATCATCATCAGTAGCATCATCATCAGCATCAGCAGCATCATCAGCAGCAGCATCAGTAGCATCATCAGCAGCAGCAGCATTAGCAGCATCATCATCAGCAGCAGCATCAGCAGCATCATCATCATCAGCAGCAGCAGCATCACTAGCAGCATCACTAGCAGCATCAAGAGCAGCATCAGCAGCAATATCATCAGCAGCATAATCATCATCAGCATCAGCAGCATCATCAGCAGCAGCATCAGTAGCATCATCATCATCAGTAGCATCATCATCAGCATCAGCAGCATCATCAGCAGCAGCATCAGTAGCATCATCAGCAGCAGCATTAGCAGCATCATCATCAGCAGCATCAGCAGCATCATCATCAGCATCACTAGCAGCATCAAGAGCAGCATCAGCAGCAATATCATCAGCAGCATAATCATCATCAGCATCAGCAGCATCATCAGCAGCAGCATCAGTAGCATCATCATCATCAGTAGCATCATCATCAGCATCAGCAGCATCATCAGCAGCAGCATCAGTAGCATCATCAGCAGCAGCATTAGCAGCATCATCATCAGCAGCATCAGCAGCATAATCATCATCAGCATCAGCAGCATCATCAGCAGCATCATCAGTAGCATCATCAGCAGCATCGTCAGCAGCAGCATCATAATCATCATCAGCATCAGTAGCATCATCATCAGCAGCAGCATCATCATCAGTAGCAGCAGCATCATCAGCATCAGCGGCATCACCAGCATCATCAGTAGCATCATCATCAGTAGCATCATCAGGGGCAGCAGCATCATTAGCAGCAGCATCAGCAGCAGCATCAGCAGCATCATCATCATTAGCAGCATCACCAGCATCATCAGCAGCATCATCATCATCATCAGTAGCATCATCATCAGTAGCATCATCATCAGCAGCAGCATCATCAGCAGTAGCATCAGGAGCAGCATCAGCAGCAGTATCATCAGCAGCATAATCATCAGCAGTAGCATCATCAGTAGCATCAGCAGCATCATCAGCAGCAGCAGCATCATCAGCAGCATCATCAGTAGCATCATCATCAGCAGCAGCATCACCAGCATCAGCAGCAGTATCATCAGCATCATCAGCAGCAGCATCATCAGCAGTGGTGGTTGAGTTGTGGTTGAGTGATGGTTGAGTGATGGTTGAGTTGTGGTTGAGTGATGGTTGAGTTGTGGTTGAGTTGTGGTTGAGTGATGGTTGAGTGGTGGTTGAGTGATGGTTGAGTTGTGGTTGAGTTGTGGTTGAGTGATGGTTGAGTGGTGGTTGAGTGATGGTTGAGTTGTGGTTGAGTTGTGGTTGAGTGATGGTTGAGTTATGGTTGAGTTGTGGTTGAGTGATGGTTGAGTTGTGGTTGAGTTGTGGTTGAGTGATGGTTGAGTGGTGGTTGAGTGATGGTTGAGTTGTGGTTGAGTTGTGGTTGAGTGATGGTTGAGTTATGGTTGAGTTGTGGTTGAGTGATGGTTGAGTTGTGGTTAAGTGATGGTTGAGTTGTGGTTGAGTTGTGGTTGAGTGATGGTTGAGTGATGGTTGAGTTGTGGTTGAGTGATGGTTGAGTGGTAGTTGAGTGATGGTTGAGTTGTGGTTGAGTTGTGGTTGAGTGATGGTTGAGTTATGGTTGAGTTGTGGTTGAGTGATGGTTGAGTGGTGGTTGAGTGATGGTTGAGTTGTGGTTGAGTTGTGGTTGAGTGATGGTTGAGTGGTGGTTGAGTGATGGTTGAGTTGTGGTTGAGTTGTGGTTGAGTGATGGTTGAGTGGTGGTTGAGTGATGGTTGAGTTGTGGTTGAGTTGTGGTTGAGTGATGGTTGAGTGATGGTTGAGTTGTGGTTGAGTGATGGTTGAGTGATGGTTGAGTTGTGGTTCAGTGATGGTTGAGTTGTGGTTGAGTGATGGTTAAGTGATGGTTGAGTGGTGGTTGAGTGATGGTTGAGTTGTGGTTGAGTTGTGGTTGAGTGATGGTTGAGTGGTGGTTGAGTGATGGTTGAGTTGTGGTTGAGTTGTGGTTGAGTGATGGTTGAGTTGTGGTTGAGTGATGGTTGAGTTGTGGTTGAGTTGTGGTTGAGTGATGGTTGAGTGATGGTTGAGTTGTGGTTGAGTGATGGTTGAGTGATGGTTGAGTTGTGGTTGAGTGATGGTTGAGTTGTGGTTGAGTGATGGTTGAGTGATGGTTGAGTGATGGTTGAGTGATGGCTGAGTTGTGGTTGAGTGATGGTTGAATTGTGGTTGAGTTGTGGTTGAGTGATGGTTGAGTGATGGTTGAGTGATGGTTGAGTGATGGTTGAATTGTGGTTGAGTGATGGTTGAGTTGTGGTTGAGTGGTGGTTGAGTTGTAGTTGAGTGATGGTTGAGTTGTGGTTGAGTGGTGGTTGAGTTGTAGTTGAGTGATGGTTGAGTTGTGGTTGAGTTGTACCAAGTTGTGGTTAAATGATGGTTGAGTTGTGGTTGAGTTGTGGTTGAGTGAGTGATGGTTGAGTGATGGATGAGTTTTGGTTGTTGAGTTGTGGTTGTGTGATGGTTGAGTTGTGGTTGAGTTGTGGTCGAGTTGTGGTGGTTGAGTTGTGGTTGAGTGATGGTTGAGTGGTTGTTGAGTTGTGGTTGAGTTGTGGTGGTTAAGTTGTGATGGAGTTGTGCTTGAGTTGTGGTTGAGTGAGTTGTGGTTGAGTTGTGGTTGAGTGAGTTGTGGTTGAGTGAGTTGTGGTTGGGTGAGTTGTGGTTGAGTTGTGGTTCAGTGATGGTTGAGTTGTGGTTGTTGAGTTGTGGTTGAGTTGTGGTTGAGTTGTGGTTGAGTGGTGGTGGTTGAGTTGTGGTTGAGTTGTGGTTGAGTGAGTTGTGGTTGAGTTGTGGTTGAGTGAGTTGTGGTTGATTTGTGGTTGAGTTGTGGTTGAGTTGTGGTTGAGTTGTGGTTGTTGAGTTGTGGTTGAGTTGTGGTTGTTGAGTTGTGGTTGAGTTGTGGTTGAGTGAGTTGTGGTTGAGTTGTGGTTGAGTGAGTTGTGGTTGAGTTGTGGTTGAGTTATGGTTGAGTTGTGGTTGAGTGAGTTGTGGTTGAGTTGTGGTTGAGTGAGTTGTGGTTGAGTTGTGGTTGAGTTGTGGTTGAGTTGTGGTTGAGTGAGTTGTGGTTGAGTGAGTTGTGGTTGAGTTGTGGTTCAGTGATGGTTGAGTTGTGGTTGTTGAGTTGTGGTTGAGTTGTGGTTGAGTTGTGGTTGAGTTGTGGTTGTTGAGTTGTGGTTGAGTTGTGGTTGCGTTGTGGTTGAGTTGTGGTTGAGTGAGTTGTGGTTGAGTTGTGGTTGAGTGAGTTGTGGTTGAGTTGTGGTTGTGGCTACCTCAGTGGGCACGTTGATCAGTGCCATGTTAAACCCCAGCTGGAATCCTCCTCCGATTCCGGCTGCGGCCGCGAGGAGAATCATCCTGGCAGAGGGAATCTGGCACACCGGGGCAGGGGAACGCACGGACCGAGAAACGTACCACTACACTACACCATACACTACACTACAATACACTACTACACTACACCATACACTACACTATACACTACACTATACACTACACTATACACTACACTATACACTACACACTACACTATACACTACTACACTATACACTACTACACTATACACTACTACACTATACACTACTACACTATACACTACACTATACACTACTACACTATACACTACTACACTATACACTACACCATACACTACAATATACACTACACCACTATACACTACACACTACACTATAGACTACACTATACACTACACTATACACTACACATTACACTATAGACTACACTATACACTACACTATACACTACACTATACACTACACTATACACTATACACTGCACTATACACTACACTATACACTATACTATACACTACACTACTATACACTACACTACTATACACTACACACCACTAAACACTACACACCACTATACACTACACTACACTATACACTACACTACTATACACTACACTACACTATACACTACACTACACTACAACTACACTATACACTACACTATACATTACACTATACATTACACTAAACACTACACTATACACTACACTATACACTACACTATACACTATACACTGCACTATACACTACACTATACACTACACTATACACTACACTACTATACACTACACTATACACTACACTATACACTACACTATACACTATACACTACACTATACACTACACTATACACTACTACACTATACACTACTACACTATACACTACACTATACACTACTGCACTATACACTACTACACTATACACTACACCATACACTACAATATACACTACACCACTATACACTACACAC